AGAGATAGCTTCATTGGCTTAACCAGGGAATAAATCGATTTGGGTATACCTATGAATATAACAATATGCGTGGAAATATTTTAGTTAAGAAGACAAATGTTAGTAAAAATCATTGAAAAGTTAAAATATTACTTTAATTTTTGTATATGTAGGATGCAACTAAAATGCTTGGCAAACTTTAAAGGCGGATTTTATGTCAAAATTAACGAGAAAAGTGTTCACAAGATGTTAAAGTCTAAAAGAAATATGTTTTTAAATTATAGGAAAATGGCTAAAGGAATTTTATTCGTTACATATTTTTTCATGTATAAAAGCGTAGTTATGAGGTAGAAGTAATTTTCGTTTAGAATTTTTCTTTCCACCAATATACAGGGTGTCTCATAATTAGCGTCCAATAATTTGCCACTTGATTTTAATGCCTAAAATAAGAATATTTTTTCATATAAAATGGGGCCTCAAAAAATTAATTTTTTTTAAATTTTTCCGAAATGGGTTGAAGGGAAATTATGAATGTTGACATCGTGAACGCTCATTAAAAGTCGAAATAGATCATGTTAAAATTTTTCAAAAATTTAATTAAGAGGCTCGGTTAAAATTTTTTACATGTTACTATTTTCAAATTTAAACAGTAAAATTTGATAGATCTGATACTTCTATTAAAAATGGTAATGTAATCGAAAAAGTAATCCGTTTTCGAGAAAAATCAGTTTAAATATGTTGTAACACTTCCCAAAGTGTGCTTTTCTAAGCACTTAAATCCGTTTTTCTTGGAAATGGAGCATTTTATCGAAATAAAGAGTACCTTTTTTGTAGAGGAACTGAAGGTCTATCATATGTTGGCCTCTGAATTTGAAAATATCGACAAGCAAAAAAATTGGGGCAAATTTTAGCTGACGACCCCTCCAATTGAGATGCCCCTGATCAAAATTTTATGATGGTCTATTTCGACTTTTAATGAGCGTTCATGGTATCAAAATTCATAATTTTCCTTCAACCGATTTCAGAAATATTAAAAAAAAATGAATTTTTTGAGGCCGCATTTAGGGGAGCGTAGTTCCCTTAGGAAGTATTTCTCGATCTATGAAAAAATATTCTTATTTTTGGCAATAGAATCAACTGGTAAATTACTGGACACTAATTATGAGACACTCTGTATTTTAAAGTAGATATAGTATTGTGAAAGAGAATAACAGACTTTACAAAAATATAATATAATATTTGCTGGAAGTCGTTAGGATATATTATTTTTAAGATACATGGTAAAAATTAATTCTATGTGTACATAATTATTGGTAGAATTGTCATGACATTGTTATTTTTGATATTACATTACCTAATAATAGTTCAAATAATCTGTTTACAAATAAATTAGATAGGTACATGGTTTTCGAGATTTAATAACACTTTTCCATTAATTTTTAACAAAGCTGCATTATAAAAAGAAAGGATTACCGGGCACATATTTTTTATCAGAATTGTTCTTTTGATTTGTGGAGTAGATTCCGTCATTAAAATTTTACTATATCTTTATACCCTGGAGGTTTGTATAACTGTAACAGTGAAGAGATATTGTTTCTAACTTGGTTATATTTTCTAAAACGCTGGACAAAAAATTGCACATATAAACGCCCTTAACGAAAGAGGATCTATTAATTACAGATTTATATAAAAAACATAAGTAAATGTACTCTTTGCAAGAAGGTATTTTACTTTCTTTTGTGTGCCAGTTTGGATATTATTACTTAAGGTTAAAAAAAATTAAACTATAGTACTTCGACTTTTTATTTTTTCAAAAAGTTAAAAGAGCCAAAGAGGTATTAATAAATATCATATTACCTGAACTATCAGTTTATTTTAATTTTAACTTTTAAGATAAATTACGGGAATAATTTAAAATTCCACAAAGTGCATTACCTTCAGTAATCTTTTGTATACAGTGCCTTCAAACATGTCCTGATATGTTGATTTTACTTAAACAGTAATAAATTGTACATAAAAATACCTACTATAGACGATAATACAAGCAGATATTAAAACATCGTTACCGCAAGTGAATTTAAAATTAATTTTGTGACCTTTACACCAGCCTTCAAATTTGTATTACATTAATGTTTTTAAGGTTCGAATAGTATTTTAAACTATAAGGATTATTTATTGTTCTTTTGTGTATTTATCTCCTAACGACACAGTACGTTAAGACAATAAACTGATGTGGGAATTTTATTTTCAGCATGCAAATATCATCCGATGGTCTAGACTTAAAAATAAATTATGACTACTGTTTTGTGACGGAATAGTGCTTTGGTTATATGGAAGTGAATATATTATCTCTTATCTCTATTATAATTTCAGATTATAGCTAGACTAAAGTGAGAATTAGGCGGAGCTAGGGGGGTTGAGGATTTACATTTTTAATTATTATAAACAGTCGTGGGCAGTTTACGCCCGTCGAATACGTACATTAAATTTTAATTTTAGATTTGCATAATAGGAGGATTAGAAGGACTGATCAGATATGCCAATAATATAAGAATAATTAAAATATATTTTACCCCTGTATTTCTTTAAAGCTCGTCGCACAAAACTATAATAAAAATCGGAAGAAAAATGATAAGTTTAAAGATAAAGGATTATTTTTTTCATTATACAGGGTGATTCACAACTTATCCAAAAAAATTTGGGAATAGATGCAGCATGAGAAATGGAGTCAATATTGTAAAAAAAATTTTTGTAAAATCCTTATAGTTTCTGAGAAAAAAAATTATTTAAGTTATAGCACATTAAACCACTACATAGCTGGACAACTGTAGTCTCTAGCGTCATTCGCAATACGCGTGGAGAGCCATGTGACTTCTAATACTGAAATCTTTACCTGTTATCTGTGGTATTTACATCAGTTTTTTAGTAGTTAGTGTCCAAAATGGCTTGCGTGTATAGCAACTCAGAGTTGATGGATATAGTTTTAATTTATAGACAACATTTGTATTATGGTGAAGTATTTGTGTTATGGTGAAGCACGACATCATTTGTGTTAGTTCGTAGAATGTGAGTAAGATTGACCCAAATGTGTTTACACGTGAGTGGATAAAATTTTGAACAATTGCTGTTGCAGCATGGGTATGTCAAATGATTTTATTATTTAAAAACACAAATTAATTTTATTAATAATTAATAAAGGCAAAAGCATTTGAATTTGCCGATATAAAATAGGTGCGATAAAATTCTATTTACATATTTCTTTCCTTGCGAAAGTTTTTGTCCGTTTCTATCACGCCGCTATACCAGTCGCATTTTGCGATGTCAGGTTTTACAGTGGACCAGTTTCCAGTGCCGTGCAGAAGTGTATTTTTAAATCAATTTCGAACTGACCTTTTTGATTTTTTCTTTACAAAATTGTATTTATAAGGGTCCCCTGTACATCCAGAATTTTTTTTTTTTGATAAGTTCTGAATCAGTCTATAACAAATTTAAAGTTCAACTCTACCTGGGAATATTAATACTGTTTGTAAAAAATAGTATCCTACAGTTCGAATATTGAATAGTTTATTTTTTTTGTTTCAATTTTATGATTATAATTGATCTCACATAGCCTTTTGAGGCCTCTGTCTATCTGAGTTCAATGGATTATCATAACAAATTCCTGTTCAAACTTGCATATTTTTGTGGGCACATCAAATACTCGACTTGGTGATCATGCTTATATTAAGGTGAAGTTAATTTATAATATAAAGCGGATAAAAGAAGCTACAAAAGGTATGGGCTGTGGGAGGAAATCTTTTGAGCGTGTATAGCCATTGCAACACTTTAATATACGAATGTGTGCGCTCATTTTATAGATATTAAATTTATCGACAAAACAGGCATGTGGTGTTATATCAGTTTTTAACGTAAGAAAAAAAAATGGATTGTTAATTCCTCTGAAGGATAATCTTTGATATTTTATATATATTTCATAAATAAGGATTATATAGTCTAGTCGTACTGCCGTTTCCTCGTCACTACTGTTCCTCTCTCTGTCCTCCAAGAATATCTCCATCGCTGATTTAGTTACAGGCACCCCCGACCTACCCTTGTTGAACGACCTAGAGGATTCAATTTCTACGCCATATTTACTAGGAAGTTCACATAGTATACAGAGCTCTATACCCGCTTTTTATTTTCACTTAACTTGTCTGTCATCTTTTTGGATAGATTTCACCTCTGTTTTGAATCTAAGATTTTTTCGGGTTCGACTGCAGTAGTAAAATATTTCTTTAGTTTTATTGACCGATAATCTGTCAAGTGCACCCTCCTGACCTTTGGGGTGGTTTTGGGGAGTTGGTGGGGGTTGTAGGGTTCGGTGCCCATTGACAAGCCAAGTTATGGTATAGGTGTCTGTAGGTTCGACTACAGTAGTGAAATATTACGGTAAGCCAATTGACCTGTAATCTGTCAAGTTCATTGCTCTGATCTTTGGGGGTGGTTTTGGGGGGTTGTAAGGGGTTGGGCTTCGTGCCCATTGAGACTTTTGATCAGCACGACGAGGACTATCAAAATACGAAGTTTTTTTCGAAAAGTATAAGAGAGTAGTAATTTGTAGGAAAATGAAAGACGTATCCGAAAATGGTTGTTACCGTAAAGCAGTGGCGTACTATTTTATTTAGAACAATATGTCACCGACACCCTGTATCTCCACCACCAGAGAACCACCAAATTTTAGAAAAAGGCTTCAGATTTTGGACAATGTTTACATAAATACATGTGCCCAATTTCAAATTAAAAAATTAAAAATATCTTTTGAAATTTAACACCCTATACACCCTGTATAATAAGTATAAGAACTTTCACGCACGAACAGCGGCGCAGTGTGGAGGCGGGGGAAGCGATCATAATTAAACTGTACGATCCGCCAGTTCGCGAGGACATCCTGTACGTTTAAACAAATTTGTTATTGACTATCGTTATCGCTGTCTCTACGCTGTGACACTAGATAACGGAACTTATTCGGTGGAGTGCTGTCGCGGAGCTCGGACCGTTTGCGGATATCGTCGAGCAGTTTTATGTAAACTTTTGTGATGAAGTGGTGTTAAAAACAACGTGAATATGGTGAAAGTGAATCTTTTAACCAGTGTTAAGAACATGGTGCCTATATTTACCGTGGAAAACTATTTCAAAGAACACAGGTTAGAGAGGCGATTTAATATACCGTTTACTTGATCACCGTTCTTTATTAATTGATAATTTTCGAACAAACGGTGTTTTTTTAAGCTCCATCCGCATGTGCGATATAAATAGAGTTATGTTATATTCTTAGAACAGATAAGATAAAATAATTTTATTGTTATTACGTATGAAGTTCAAAATTTTCACGTTGGTTAATGATGTTGAAAATATTGACCGAATCAAGGGCGTCCGGATCCAAACAAATTGTTATTATTTGCCAAGGAAACTTTCCACGGCTTGGTACGAAGATTGTGCCTCAAATCTGAGAATCTAAGATCGTTAGCATTTATTTTTCGATACAAACATCGACTAAAATGAGACTTTGGAACTATACGGTATGATATATTTAATTTACGTGTATATATCGATAACGAACATGTGTACCTACAGCAGTTTTAGTACAAAGATTGGTCAAGGTGATCAAAAGAGTGGGGGTAATTTAGCAAGGTTGCAACCTTACTTCAGATCGTTCGTTCTACAGTGTGAAAAATACGCTGCGCTACTTATAATTTTCACAATTATTTATTTCTCGTATAAGTACGTTGGATGTTTGTAAACATGTTAAAAACTATTTGGATTTTATATTTTTCACTGTTGCTATAGGTACTAAATCATCATCTGTTGACAAACATTATACCGGATGTTGCAATATTCTACCGACAAAATTGTACAACTGCTCTGACCAAAAATAAAAAGAAATCATATAGTCCAGTCACTGAAGGCGAAAATAAGGTAAAAGCTGCCAATTTTTTCGGATAGCATGGATTTTCCTGAAAATTTGCATACAAGCTCATCGGACCCTCCACTTCAAAAGTTATATTGTCTAGATGTGTGCTTTTTTCTATTTGGGGGTGAAAACTGCCCTTGTACGAAAAAATGCGAAAATCGCAGATTTACGTATTTTAAAGATTCAATTCATGTTCAAATATGTTGGATAAAGTTCCTAAACTACCCTTCCACAGCCAAAAAAATAGAAAAAAAAGATTTTAACAGTTTAAAATATTATTTTGGTGCATTCACAATGTCATTTGCAATTGCATATCTTTTATTTATTCATTAGGAAGCTTACGACTCATTGCAAAGTTGCAACCCTTAAAAACCATCCCGTATAATAAAATAAACAAAAAAATATTATTGAAAGCTTGAGATGTTTTAATCGTATGTTTATGTTGAATTATAAACTTTTTATTGGTTTTCAAATGATCTATGATATATTGCAACTTTTCAGCCAAACAAAAAACCCTTATGGAAAACCTACCCCTCATAAAAAACTCTACCCCTTATAGAAAAATTTCCTAAAAATTATATGTGAGTATGATATAATTAATTTTTTTAAATTTTATTGAATTAATTTTTAATATCTTTTTATTAAATTAATATCAAATATTATTAAAATACTTATTCAAATCAGTTTACAAGAGCTCCAAAATACACAAATATGAAGGTAATTTACCCGCTCCGAAAATTTTACCGAAAAAATGGGATTAATTTTTTTACCATAACTTTTGTATTTTAAAGTTATAAATTTACCCAAAAATGCATTTTGTAGGGAATTTAAAGCACTTTAAGTTCTGTGATTTACAGTTTTTTCGAGACCACCGTTTTTTAGATTTGTAAGCTAAAAGGGCTCAGAAAAGGCAGTCTTGGAGCTTAGTTTGAGCTTCTAACTGTCAAATTTTATCCTACAAAAATTAAAAAAAAAAAAATCAAATTGTTCAGTAAGAAAAAACCTACAATTTCTTATTCTATCATTTTTTTATAACTGTTAGTTTTTGAAATATTTTGAAAAAAAGATTTTTTAAAAATTAAAAAATTTTATTCAAACGTGACGATTTTTTTTTAAATTTAGACTTCTAAAATTGTTCAAATTCCCAGAATCTAGTGTTAATACATAAATAAAGTAAATTGCAGAAGGAATACGTTTAATTCTTTTTTTTCCGTCATTAATTTTAATACCGATTTTTTTTCTCAAAAATCAAGACAATCATATTATTTTGATTGTAACTTCATTAAGCTTCGAAATTGACCAACTTCTGGGAGTCATAACTCGGGTTCTATACCATCTACAAAAATAAAAAAAATAAGCAATCTCTTTGCTATTTAATTACCTTCATTTTTACTAATGATAATTTTTTTTGATAAAACTTGTAGTTTTTGAGATATTCGCGAAAAATGGCTCAAAAACATACATTTTTGAGCTAAAAACGAACATGTTTAGAAGTGAATAACTCAAAAAGTATTTTCAATACAAAAAATTCTCGCTCTGTCGAATCGTTTTTTAATAAAAAAATTCCCACCCTCCAGATGAGGTGGCATCCACCCCTAGGGTAAAAGCATACATCGGCACTATATAACTTTTATTTCTTGGACTATTCCCTAGCTACAGTCCAAATTTCACGTCAATCCATTCCATCCGAAAAAATTGGGAGCCAAAATACTTCAATGACTGGACTAATAGAAATATAGGATTAATATCTATACCTTTCAGATATGTAATAGGTCATTGAAGTTTTATATTGAAAGTATGTTGTTATCTTTACTTAAATTTACCCAACATACCACAAAAAAAAGAAAGTGACCAAGTCACATTTTGTTTAAAATCACTCAAACACAGTTAAAGTGGTAAAGGAATAAAGGATAGGCTTTTTGTTTCAAAAGAGACAATTCATAGAGACAAGAGGACCATTGATCTAAAAAAGTATCATCCCGTCAGGGACGGATCCAGAGATGGATTTCAGGGGGGGTTGCATAGTTAATGTCTAAAAAAGAAGGTTGTGCAGAATATTGAGAACTGACTACTTTTTTAAGTTGTAGTTGGTTCTTTGTTGTTTTATTTGTACGGGCCGTTTGGTGGGGGGATTATCCATAGTATATTTTGTAATTTTGTATAGCAATACATTCCAAGAAAATTCTCTCAAAAAGCGTACAAATAAAGGAAAATGACTGGTGTTGATCATATTTAGTGATAAAAGTTAAACTTAAAAATTTTGTTAACGTTCGTAATTTTCCATTAAAATTTTCTATAAACAAACTACCACTGAAAATGTAATTAATTTTGATGAAAATGATGTTGAATGTGGTGACCAGGTGTATTATTATTGTCAGTTTTTAGCCTGAAATGTTACACTAAAAAGAAAAGTTACAATGAAACATTACAAAAATTTGCTATAGTAATCTTTTTACAGATTTGTTATTTTGAAATAATTTAAAAAGGCAGATCGAAAACTCAAGTAGATTGATATAAATCTTTTCCACTTAACCTTTTTAATATCTCTTATACTTTCGTAGATACCAATACGTATCCAAAATGGCTTACACGATATTCACAATAAAGAAAAGGGAAAAAGGACAAGAAGAGAATATTTTGAAAACTACAGCATTGTCCAGTTGCGGAATTGTATCACAATATTCAGTATTATGATGACAAATTAACGTGTGTTTGAACAAAATGTATGCATTCGGCAAACATTCGATATATTTACTATAGACAAACACCACGTTCCATATCGAAGCGGTAAATCAGCACATATCAAATTTAATGATCCAAAGTATCTAGCTATGTTCGCAAATAACTGATGTTTTATCCAATGGACATCAAAGGGCCCAAATAATCGTTTTAGATTTAGAAGAAAATAATTATTTTTCTAAAGAAAGACCACTTTAAAAGTATTTACAATTTCGACAAATTTTTTGTTTAAATAAAATTGCTGTCGTTTTCTGTAGGAACATTATCAACTTCTATTTGGCAAATAAAGTAAATATTAATAAAACTAACATTGTAGAAAGTAAACATAAAGATTACGCAGGTGAAAACAAAGGTCAATAGAAACAGCATTATTTATATATACACCAAAATTACAAAATAGGAATTGCTATGCAAGAAGTAAGAACGAAATACGTAACTAGTAATTCAGATACTGGAATTTGAAATGATCATCTTTGGAAAACGAGTTAGCTGAAAACAGTTTGACGTATGTTTATACGCTTTCGATTTACTTTGTGTTATTATGTAGTTGTTTTTAAAAGGAAATTCTTGTTTTGTTAACAATATTAATGTGTAGTCACTCAGTGAACACGAATCAAAACAACTGTACATTATCTGAATAGTTGAAGTAGATATGATGCGAGCATACTTAAGTCTCATATAAATACTTAAGTACTTGATGAAAGCTCTAAAGCCTATTTTTTGTGATAACCTAGATTTTCTTTTTAAAATCAGTTGATACGTATCTCAAAGTTAAATTGAATTAAACATTATTTACGAAAGATGTTAAATTATGTTAATATTAATATGTCTGATTTTTCCGTCTATCTGGTGGAAGTGTCGAACTTTTTGTTTTTAATTGAAATGGGGAAAATTATATTGATCAGTTCAATTTAAGGAAGCGTTACTAACCAACAGTATCTTAAATTGAACGACCTATTTTTTTAAATTCAACTGAATAACAATTGTACGATATCTGAAAATATTCCATCAGAACAAAATCTCATCGAGCCGATCACAATCTCCTCAGTTAAAAAACTTTTGATGCATGCTAAACGGCTGTTAAATATTCTTTTTGCTCAAGAAATTTGAAAATGGCAAACTAAACAGATTTTTTAATCTGGATCATATTTTCTGAAGTTTTGAAACTATAGCGTAGGAGGTGGCCAGATATGTATATCTACGTGATTTTGGAACGTTTTTTTAAACTGTCCATTAATCTACTGAAAATTTCGGTGAATCAGAATTTCAAAAATGATCTTGTTAAACAAACAAAAATCATTTTCAATGGCCATCTTTGAGCGGATATAGACCCTTTATAACATATTTTAGGAACGTACATTCTTTATAGGAAGAGAACACACTGTATCTTTATTACAAAATTGACTTAATAATTACTTCTTCCACTTGTAATTTCTTGCTTAGAAGGAAAACAACTTTTTATATGCAAATTACATTAGATAATTACAGTTTGCC